TTTCGCCATTGAAATAAAAAAAAAATAAAAAAAATAAAAATAATAAAAAGGATTTAACTTAAAATAACCGGCGGTGATCATCACCGGTAAATAATTAGCCAATAATGATTCAATTAAAAAAAGATTCTATTTCATATACTTTAGCATTAGGGTAAAGCCTGGGATTTTAGCAAAGTGTTAGATATATGCAAAATTTAGCAAGAAATTTTTTTTGTTAGAACGTTGAAGGTAGTTTCATAGACAAATTCTTGAGATATTGATATTTTTTTTAAAAAATATCTTTATTTTTGTTACACAAATTAATTTGCACATTACACCTAATCCTGCAAATTTATTGGCTAATTATACACCGGTAATCATCACCATCGGTTATAGTTATAAATATTCTAATAAAAATAATAAAAAAAAAAAAACAAAAAAACAAAAAAAAATTTAAAACCATTTTGTTAATAGTATTTTTGTTAAAATATTAACTTCGCCTGATTATATTTACGATATTGAAGAAGACGTTGATATGGATATCAGCGATAATGAACTCAATAATACGCTTAACTCTATTCTAGACACATCAGATAGAGTTGGTCAAGTGTGAGAGGCTGTGGATGATGATTCAGAAAAAACATCTGAAGCTGAAAAAGTTAAAACATATTATTTACTCGTAAATGATTATATAGAATGGATTAAAAGCCTTGAGAAATCGGGTCTTAGTTATAAGTGTCACGAACGTAGAATTAAAAGAGGTGCGAAAAGAAAAAGTGTGTGGTCTGAAAGATGGCATTGTCATTATTATGGGGAATATGAAAGCACTGCTGGAAAAAATCCTAATAAAAAGCCACATTTGATACAAAAAGAAACAAAAAAATGCAGGTGTAAAAGTTATATTTTTGTTATACTTCCCATTAACTCATCAATGGTTATCTTAAAATATTATTATAAATATAATAACCATTACCCCAGCCAACTTTCAGACTTGTGCATGCTTTTTCTTTCCGAAAATATTCAACAGTTTGTTCAACAGCGTGCTCTTGAAGGGTTCGATGTTTTTAGTATCTACAAATTCATGCGATTCTGAGCAATCGAATTGCAAAATCAGGCAGGTTCTATAATTATTATTAGTAATTTATTAGTTTTTTTTTTTTTTTTATGTAAGAGTAAGATACCAGACATGGATAATGATTTTCTGTAGTGGTTAAGATTAAATTCTGTGTGAACAGCAGAGACCGTTAATGTTATATGTATATTAAAACTGGTGAGGGATTGTATCTATCACAATTGAATCCAATATAAATAATTTAATTTGTGATTGACCACAGAAGAGAGGAATTCACTCTGGATTAGGCATAGTCTCTGCTGTTTTCTGTATGTGTGATTAAGACAAATTTTGTGAATTAATGCAATAAAAAATTTCAATATTTCCCTATTTCTGTGTTTGTCTATAATGCTATTTTGTAATTTTTGTTATTTAATGCGGCTAAATTTTTCTAAAGCATCTAATTCTATAACTCTCCGACAAGTATGCTCGTAATTTACGTTGCTTTATTATCTACTTTCCCGATGCCGACCTGGATTTGTGTGCTATTTTTTTTGGAATTCTGTGATATTCTGCGGTGACTAAAGGCGATTTCTGTGGTTGGCTGTGTCTTGAGAAAACTTTTGCTATTTTCTGTGGTCACAGTAAATCATCGTCTATGTACTCGGATACAATTAGAATTTTTTTTATTTCTTGTGCATATATTTATTTAATTTTTTTTTTATTTTAATTTTAAATTATTGTTATTTTTAGATTAACTCTGAAGATTGTTCATGTAATGTGCAAACACTACAGGATAGATTAATAATGTGTGATGATATCTATATGATCGTTTATAATGTGATAAAAACATCTGCCTTTTTTGATCAAGATGTAGAGCTGTTAAAAGTCCTGTTCGGTTCGACTCTGCTTCAAAGCCGAGTCACTCAATTAAAAGTCGATCCCAAGTTTGACTCATGCATAAAATGTGATTTGAAATTAATACGATTGGAACTAGTTCTTAACTAGTTCTATCAGTATTGAAACAATTACTGAAAACAAACACAAATTCTAATCTAAAATTAATAGATTGGAACTAGTTCTTAACTAGTCGTAGAACAATTACTAAAAACAAACACATATATACGTATTATTATTAAAAGTGTTATTCATGTAATTATTAGAGTTTTGCTCATAAGTAGCTACAAGTCAAGTCAATGTGTTCATGTTGAATCAACTTAAAGAATCGACTCTAATGAGCTTTTTAACAGCCCTATCAAGATGAGATTCATCCTTTGGAGATGTGGAAAAATAAAATAATTAGTAAGGGCAGGACTTGTATATTTAGAAACTGCAATGAGGTGAATGATATTGGATTTATATTCATGTTCCAAACTAAGGAGCAAAAAGAGTTAATGGAACATGCAAGAGTAGTGTGTTTAGATGAAACACACGGGACAAATCATCACAGATATCATTTATTCACACTTATTATACGCCATTCAGTAGCTGGTAGTGGATATCCAGTCATATTTTTAATAAGTAAATTTAGATGAACGTTGACATTGAAGGAATGGTTCAATTTTTTAAGGTGTGAAAATGAAGGATAGAAGCCAGATATCTTTATGGTCGACGATGCTAAAGAAGAAATAAAAACGTGTCAAGAAACTTTCTCTGATAGCTCTGTGTTTTTATATCATTTCTATGTTTTGCGTTCTTGGAGTCGAAAGCTGTGTCACAAACGTGGCACAAATAATGATCCACGAAAAGAAATTGTTTGGGGTGATCTTTGGAGACTGCTCAAAATGGAAGGATAGAGTGATACAGAAGCCCAAACACAAGTTACGGGGACAATTAATCGGTGAAAAGAGCTGGGTTCTGAGGTAATAAATAATTTCGCTAATTACTTTGAACGCTGGTGGCGGCAAAAGTATGATATGTAGATGACTTGTGCAAGAGGCATTTCTCGGGATATGATGGATACCAATAACTTGATTGAATCGTTCCATTGTAAGTTAAAATATTCTTATTTAAGGGGACGGCCAGGTAATTTATTTTTTTTTTATATTTTTTTTTATTTTAATTTTTTTTTATTTTAATTTATTATTTTTTTTAATTTTTATTATTATTATTATTATTTTTAATTTATATTATTTTAATTTATTTTTTTTTATTTATTTTAATTTATTTTTTTTTTATTTTTCCTGCCCTCAAGCACTTTTTATTAACTAGAGTTAAATTATTATTGTATATTGCATTGTCACAATTCTACATATTATCATTGTTAAAACAATGATAATTTATAAAATTGTGACAAATAATAATTTGAATTCTATGAATTCTGTATATTACATTGTCGCAATTCCGCATATTACTATTGCTTAACAATGGTAATATACAGAATTGCAACAATGTAATATACAGAGTTCATAGAATTCAAGAGTGATAAAAAAAACAAATAACTAATTCTTTATTTTTATCTTACAGGCAGACGACTCGACAGCAAAGTGCATCATCTTCTTGTGGAAATTGTGCTTCATAATATAAATTTCTCGATTTTTCTTAATGAATTAAAAATAGGCAGAATGGGCCTATGATTGCACTAGCAGCGCATTAGAGAAATTGCTGGAACTACGCGCAGCAGTAATATTTTTAATATCCAGCCTAATTTGTGAATAATACGTTCTTTAACAAATGAAGATATTGAGTACTCGGTTAGAAAGAAGGAGGAGCTTACAGATAATGATAATGACTTCAATGCTGCCTCTTATATTTGTAATTGTTGTAATTTTCAATCACGACAATTGTCATGCAAACATGTGTTTACTGTATTAGCAAACAATCATGTTGCTAATGAAGAAGAGGATAATCAACAACTATCTGTGGAATTAGATTTTTCTAATTCTCACATTTGTTTTCCTGCAGATCAAACAAATAATGATGATAAAGAAGTTCAATACACAAAATTGCAGGAAGAGCTCGTTGCAATTGCTAATGAATGGAAAGATATGAAAGGAGAAGACATTTACAATCTTCAAATAGCTCTTCAGCAAGCTACACAAATAAAAAGATCAAGAATCGCAAGGTTAGAATCTGTTACTCGATTTACTAATAATAATGAACTAGTTCATATAGCACCAAATGCAAAAATTGTGAGACAAAATAAGTATTAATTTATTTTATTTGCTTAAATGCATATGCACATAAAAAAAAATAAATAAAAAAAAATAAAAAATAAAATAAAATAAAAAAATAAATTACAAAATAAATTATGATCTGTAAATGACTTGAAATTTTTTTATGATATATAAAAAAGCTTTAGCGATTAATTAAGTATCTCTCTGTATTTGTTTATTATTTAATATTTAAATTTAATAAGATAAGTGTTTGTGTAGCATTCAGTAAGAACTTAAACCTTCATTTATGAAAAATCCAGATTATCGTACTGGATATGTACTAATAAAACTATAAATACAAACCCTTCGTTATAAATTATTGTACAAATTATTGTATATGAAGCTTTTTTTTTTTATTGTTAATTGTTATTTTTTTATCATTATTTTTAATATTTTTTTTATTATCGTTATTTTTTTTTTTTGGCGACGTAATTTATTTTGTCCAATCAGAGACAATATTCACTGCTCCAATCAGAAGTGGTGGGGGAAATTAGGGCTCCCAAGCTTCACTATCTTATAATAGTTTCAAGTTCCTAACTCATCTGATTATGTCATCGAATAATTATTATTAAATAGAAATAAATTTCCATACGTTTGAATAACAATAAACAAATTCGAATAAGAATTCTGCATGTGATTTATTAAAATATTTCTGGAAAAATACAATATCGGTATTGTCATTTTATCGTGTAACAATACGTGACCTGTTGTACGACAATCTGATTGTTTGTATAAACTATAAAAAGGTAGAATGTACGACTATTTCTTACTAAAAAAATTTTTTTGTCTTATCCAAAAACTAAAAATACGTGAATATGTCTACTTCCACCGGAAAAACAATTTCAATTCCTACAATCAATGAAGTTGAAGGATATAAGACAACGGAGGCTCTGATAAAATTTTTAGACGACCAAAATATAGGACTGGATGATGATGATCTCCAAATTCTTCAAAAACAAAAACTTGTTGGCGAAGTTCTTCTCAGCTTGAGCGTCGATGAACTTATGCAAGATGGTTTAAAAAGAGGACCGGCTACAATAATCACGAAATTAATGGAAAAAATCAAGGGCAAAGACCAGGGTAAGTAGTACCACGACTGCATTCGAATATTCCAAACCTATACTGCTTTCTCCGCAATAATTTCATTTATTCTTTGATATCTTTTATACTTAGGTCAAACGAAAGAAGCGGATGTAATTTACAGTAAGTTTATTAATTTTACGAATCAGGAGAGAAAATCACCCGAAAAGCTTTTAATATTAGTGTTTCTTCTATCAATAATCAAGCTGTGGACGCTAAGAAGTTTCAATATTACCAACGATATAATAATGAACATTCTAAAGCTTCCGATAAAGAAATGAGAGACTTCATGGATTTTACCTCACGGCATGTGAAAGAGCATCCCGAAGTTTCCTATGAAGATGTAGTGAAAGAATTTAAATCACAAGGTAAGCAAACAACGTGATTATTCTTGGAAACAGATGATATGATTATAATTTTTTTGTATTACTTTATAATGAGAAAGTTCTTACCCATTTTTATTTCATATATATCTTTTAATATTTAATTCAAGGGAAAACGAATAAAATCTCATGTAAGTTAATTTATCAACTATTTTTAGTTATATTAGTTTTAAATTTTCGATTTAATCATATATTCTATATCAGCTAAAATGTTTAATCGTGAAGAAATGGAAATCGTCCGAATGGCTTTTGATAGGGAATTTCAAGACCCAAGTGATCTTTTGAAAAGGTTCAAGGATTTCATAAATGAATGTTTATATAATTACAGAAAGACAGGAAATTATTACGCTCCGTACACGACCTTAATTCAAGCTAGTGGCGTAGGAAAATCAAAATTATTAAAGAAAACTGCAGAAGACATTAGAACCATATACTGCTGTTTTCGTGACCAAAATTCAAGTGGCTATCCACCAAGATCATATATTGCCGATGTACTATTATCTAAGTTTAGAGATGAAAATGATGCTTTATCCACCTACCTTGCTTATTTTTGCGCATGTGCTCGAAAATCACAGGAATTCAAAGATTCAAAGGAATGGTTCGAAGAGCATACTTCTGAAGATTTGCAGGAGGTTTTCTGGAAGGACGTTGAACGTAGAATGAATGATATTAAAAAAATACTGTTAGATGAGCCTAAGGAAGACGAAAAAAAAGCTAAGGCAGTTAAGGAATACTTTGATAAAATGAAAAATGAAAATATATTGACGCAAGACAATACAGTTAGATGTCTATTCGCGTTTGATGAGGCCCGTATTCTGGTCGATCAATCTGGTAATGAAAGCCTATTCTATTATCTTCGCCTTGCTTTAAAACTTTTACCCGAAGATGCAGGAATTTTTGCTGTATTTACGGATACAACTTCAAATATTTCGAACTTCTCACCTGCCTCCACATATGATCGGTCACAAAGAATCTCTAGCGGAAGATTTCAATTATTTAAACCGTTTTACTTGATAGACACCATAGACATAAACGCTGATCTTAAAAAAGTGTCAACATTGAAAGATTCTGAACATCCACAATGTTTCTTTATGTATGGAAGGCCCTTGTGGAGTTCACTAATGTCGCCTTCGCTTGGTGATACTAAAGGATTTGTACCACATAGTATTATTAATTTAGCCATGGATAAGCTTGTCGGTGGAATGACTTACACTTCTTGGAAAAAAAAACATAAAAATCGTATCAGCATCGTGGAAGCATTGGCCATCTTAGGACCCCGTTTATGTATAGACATTGTACCACAGTCCGAATATGCACCTAGTTTGGTGTCAAATTTTATGCGTTATTGCATTAATATCTCAGATGATCGTAAAAATATCACTACATCGATGTCTACTGAACCTGTACTAGCAGAAGCGTCTGCTCAAATAATGAACGATCCAGACATTAAACTTATAGAAATTATTAATGAACTTATCTCGTCGCTTCAAGACGGTGGAGTAGAAGGTGAATATCGTGGAGAGCTTGTTGCTAGATTATTATTACTTAAAGCGTGGGATGACGTTTATAAGAAATTGGATACACCCTCTACTAGAATTCATTATTCTCGTTTTATGACTTTAAGTGATTTTTTAAAATCGTTACTAGCGGAAAATGCGTACGACAAAATATCATCTCGCCTTCAAGAGCGGGTAACGTTTACGGGAACGGAGTTTGGCCAAGCATATATTAAGTTTACACACTTTATCAGTATTACGTATACGCCGGATAGGAAGGATCTCTTGAACGCTCTGATCCGTGGGGTTGCGTTTTCATGTAAACGATATCAGAAAGGAGTAGATATTATTATACCTATGTATATAGGAACTCTTAATGAAGAACCTAACGAGGATCGAATTTCGTACATACTAATCCAAGTTAAAAATTTGACCAAATACGTAAAAGGTGGGGGTTATCTAAAATCCGCAACAAATGATTTGTCACCAGCAAGTGCAGATATCGAAAACCTTCCGCATATGCCATTTTTATCGTTGTACATGCAGTTGGGGTCATCAAAGGAGTTTTCTGAAGATCCATCTAGAATAATTGAAACAAAAAGGGCAGGTAGTCGGAAACGTAAACTTGAAGAAGCTTTGAATGATTACAGTATAGATTGTAATGATACGAGAGATGGATTTCTTAAAAGGATCAGAACTAAGCTAAATGAAGATGTTAAAAATTCCAAGAGTGTTGTAGATAATGTTTCAGATGCTGATACTAAGGTATTCCGGAAGTATTTTCAAGTACCACTTGCAATATTTGGATTGTCATCAGAAGTTTACAGTTGTTTAAAACAGGCTGCAACATCTACTTCAGTTAATAATGGAGATCTCGAACGTAGCTTTAAACAATTATCGACTGCTTGGGTTGACCCTACACTGGGGGGAGATTTAAAAAATGCTGAAGTAATTAAGCGCATGATTCCAATGGAATATAAGATAGAGGAGTAATAAGATTATTTATTATAAAATTTAATGGATATGTGATAGCATGTACAATGTTGGTTGGTAAGGAGTGTAGATCGAACAAAACATGAGTGTTATAGCTCAATATTTTGTTATTTTAGCATGTAATGTCATTAATCTTGCAATGTAGTAACAAATAAAAATACAATTAAGTTTCTTGAAAAAGAAATTAAATTACTTCCCATGAAAAAACTATTAAGTCTGATGACTTTTCTAAAGTTCTTTTATTTAATTATAATGATTATAATTTTAAAAAACTAACAAGAGTTAGTAAGAAAACATTTTTGTATATAGAAAACCTTATACAATACAATCCAGTATTTCTAAACAAAGCAAAATATTTGCAAAAACCTGTTTGGTTACAATTGGCAATTACTTTAGAAAGATTAGGATGCAATGGAAATAGTGCTTCTATTGGAAGATTTGCTGGACAATGGGGGTATAGTAATTGGTACAGTTATCAAATATACTAAACATGTAACAGCAATTAGTGCTCCTAGGTTCAGTCCGGGTCTGGTCTGGGA